GAACCAGGAACTCCTCCGGGAAAATGACAATCTGAAACAGGTAGAGCACAGACACCAGAGCCTTGTGGCAGTTGGGTTTGATGGATTTTGCAGAGCTAATTCTTGTCCCTTTTGACAGAAACTGCTGCTCCTTCAAGTTGCCAGTGGCCAGAAGATCCGGCACATCCAGCAAAGGCCACCTGAGTCTCCAGACTCTTCTTTTGATTATGTTCCACCCAAAGTAAGAAAGAGGCTGCACAGTTTGTGTTGCACCTGAATTCTTTGCCAGAGTTAATCTTGGCTATTGATAATGTGGTTTTCTTTCTCCTAAGCTGCTTTTACCAGGCACTTGTTCTGCTCATTGAAGTGGCCCCTTCAGTCCTTTCCAGAAGACTCAAATACTTTACATTAGTTTTTTGGTTAAAAAAGAAAAAACAAACAAACCCCCAAACCTGTTTCCTCATTGTAGTTCTGACTCTATTCTCCTTCACAATCCAGATTGTTTTTCTGTAGCATTCCCAGTCTTTAAATTATGGAGCAAGGCACATGTTTCACAGCAAACTTTGCTGCTTTGCATAGGGCCAAATCTTAGTGCTGGGAGGAAGAAATGATTTAAAATTCTTTGGACAGCAGTGTGTGACACTTGTTTTTTGTCATGTGATGTGTCAACAACTCAGGCTTCAGAGGATTTGTCATCAATAGTTTAAATTGAATTTTCAATCCTGATAATTGGATCTTTTTTCCCTTCTCTCGCTCCACAACCTTCTTGGCTGTGAGGGACTCTGAAAACCCTGATAAAACCTTATTAAAATGTAATCATTATTAATATTTTTCATGAAATACAGCTGATTTTTGGTGGCCTAACCCTGGTGCTCCTGTGTTGCAGCCCCGGTGCCGCCGGCAGACGACGGCCAAGCCCCGAGCGCCCAGCCCCGAGGTGGATGTGGAGGAGCTGCTCTCTGACCCTGGGGAGCTGGAGGATTCTGACTGGCTTCCAGGGAAAGCAGGCAGAGGAACCAAGAAAAACCTCATGGGGGTAAGATCCAGCTGCCCTTGATCCAGTGTCTGTTAGGGGATCAGTTGCTTCAGGGGCTGGGCAGGGAGCTGAGAGGTGCCGTGTCTCCACTGCTCTCAAAGTGGCAGGAATGGGTTATTTGGGTGCCTGGGGACATTTGGGACATTCCCACAGACATAGCAAAGATTGTCTGCAGTCAGCAAGACCTTCCTGGACAGGTTTTCCCTGTCCAAGTCACTTTCTCCCATGTTCTGTCCTGCTGCCTGTGTCTGACCTGGCCTCTGCTTTAGGAACAGCCCCAACAGCAGCCAGATCCACCCAGGGAGCCAATTTTAGGGGGGGGGGGGGAAAAAAAAAAAAAAAAAAAAAGATGGCCTGTTGTGCATCCCTGTTTCCTTTGGGAACCTGCAGCTTCCAGTCCTGACAGAGCCTCAGCTTCCATCTGTCTGTCAGTCTGGAGCTTCAGCCTCTGGCTTAGAGAATTCCCGAGGCTTTTGGGCTGGGAACTCCCTCTTTTTGTGGAAGTGTGGCACAGAAACTGGGATCCTTAACCTCCAGTCAGGCACTGAGTAACTGAAGGTACTTCTGTAGATCCCGAAGATGGATCTGTAGGTGGAAGGGTTTTATTCTGGACATTAGGAAGAAAATTATTCTGGGATGTAGCAAAATGCGAAATGCGACAAGGGGCAGCTTGGGGCTGTCCCTGTCCTTGAGATGCCACAGCTGGCAGGACCTGGAGCACTCCAGGAGCATCCTGGCCATTGTTCCCCCTTGCCTCCTCCACAGTGCTCGTGCAAGGGCCGCTGTGGGAACAGGCAGTGTGGCTGCAGGAAGCAGAAGTTGGGATGCACCGACGGCTGCAGCTGCGCCGCGGCCACGTGCAGGAACAGGGAGCGGGGCCTGGTGAGTGCTGCTGGCTCTGGGGGCTGGGGCAGGAGCAAAGCTGGATGAAGGGATCATTCCCACACGAGCATAGTTTGTCCAGGCAGAGTATGTGCACTTTGCTGAAACTCTGTGAAATGTCACTAATTAGTGCCTCTCTGGTAACTGAGCAAAATTTTCCACTGCAGGACCAGACTCTGCCTTTCAGGACAGAATTTTGGAGATTCACAGCAAAGATTTTCGTGTTCCCACTTCTCATCCACAAATCTGAGGATAAACAGTTTCAATTTCCCTTTTGGACTCAGTAAATTAAAGTTTTGTCTTTGGCTTCAGACAACACAAAACCCTGACTCATTCCCAGATTTCTTTTTTAAGAATGGAAGGGATGGTTTGGGGGAGGGGGTTGTAGCAGCAGGAAGGTCCATGAGAAACTGATGTTCCTAGTGGGAATTTTGCTCTTGGATCTCAGAGACGTGGAGAAGGGACATCCCATGGTGCTCTAATTATTGCCTATTTTATGGAGGCCTAGTCTGAGCTGCAGATCCTGTACTGTGGAAAACTTCCCAGCTGGAGAGCAGGGGCTGTGGTGGGAAGGGAGGGGATGGATGTTCTGCCAGAGCTTCACCCTCTGCTGCCCCTCAGGAAACCACAACATGTGAGGAGAACAAAAGGGACTCAGAGGGGTCCTTGAAGCTGGAAGACCCCACGGAGGTGAAAGCAGAAGAGAGCTTCTTCCAGCCCGTGTGTATCACTCCAACCACCAAGGTATTCCCAGGGGACAGCAGAGCTGCTGAAGGAGGGGGCTTGGAGGGAAATCACCCCAGAGGAGGAGCTGCTGCTGGAAAACTGCACAGCTCCAGGCAGCTCGTGTGGAAGTCGAAGGGGTGCTGAATTCTTGTTTCCTCACTGAAATGATGCCATGAGCTTGTCACGTTTTCCTGCAGCTCCTTCAGCAAGGAGAGGGGGGGAGCGAGGAGTTTGCAGGGTAAAATCCTGTCTGTCCATGTTCAGAGTGACCTCTCTGACCTGACACATCTCATTTCACCTCAGCTAAACAAATTCCCTTATCCCATGGGAACCCACCTATTCCAACTGCTCTCTCTCCCTGCTGGATCTTGATATTTTGTCCAAAAAATTGTCTTTTTCCTGACTTGAGTAAAAAAAGCCACTCTTGAGGCTGGCCTGGCACTTGGTGTCCTGCTGCCTCGGGTGGGTCACCCCAGCTGTGACTAACTCCAAGGATTGTCCCTTGCTTTCCCACAGGTCCTGCAGGACATCACAGAGCAGGAGGCGCTCCTGAAGATTCCCAGCACTGCTGCCTCCCTGCTCGGGAGGGATGAGGAGTCCCAGGAGAACCAGAACCCCTTTGGGAGGAGGAAGAAGAGGATGCTGAGCAGCAACATCAGCTTCTTCTCAGGCTGCACCCCCATCAAGGAGTAGTTTACCTGACCTGGAGCTTTCCCATCCCTTTAGGCCACATTCCTGGTGATTTTTGAGGGAGTTGGATTCTCCTGCTGGAGCAGCAGCTCCTGCCCTCAGCAAGGGAGTCAAGCTGCTTCTTTCTTTGTTATGTCTCTGTAAATATTTGTGTGTTGGGGCCAGGTGGGGGGTAAGAATCTGTCCTCTGGAATTCCTGGAGTGAATGGAGGGATTTTCCAGGTGGGTGTTCCCAGCTCCCTCCCTCCTGCTGAGCTGTGAATGCTGGGTACGGTTTCACCTCAAATCTTGAGAGAGCTTTGCCTCTGCCCTGGAGCTCTGCTCCTGCCTCTGCCCATGGAGCCTGAAGGAACTTTTCCTGCTGCCCTGGGAGAGCCATGGAGTGAGAAGGCCCTGGCTGAAGTCTTAAAGCAGCAGCTCTGAGCTGCTCAGGCTTTCTGGCCCCTTTGGCCGCTGGACTGTCTTTATTCAATGAACTTAGAAACTTGACTTATGTGAATAATGTAGGAATTTTAACTCTGGTTTGTGATTTTAATAAAGGAGTTACTAAAGAAACCAGGCTTGGTGTTGGAAGTATTGTGTACAACATTCCCCAGCCTCCCCTGGCCTCTCTGCACTTAAATTTGGTCTTAAAACCAGTCCAGGAGTTGCTGACCATGTGACCTGTTCAGGTCTTTCTGTCCTGACACCCCAAACAAGTTCCTGCTCCTTTTCCTTGCCCTCAGCCCTAAGTTATGAGTCTCAGCAGGAAGAAAAGGTGATAAATGTAAACTTTTATATTTTTCCTCTTCTGCCACTGGGTGTGACGTGCACAGGGCTGTGGGATTTGGGCAGCAGTTTCCCTGACCTGAGACTCCTCTTTATTTTCCTGTTGGATGAGGGCTCTGCCAGCTTAGGGAATGCCAGGATGGTCTGGGTTGGAAGGGGCCTTAAGGATCATCCACTTCCACCAGCCCAGGCTCCTCCAAGCTCTGTCCAAGCTGGCCTTGGACACCTGCAGGAATGGGGCAGCCACAGAGAGCAGAGACACCCTGTGCCAGGGCCTTGCCCCTCACAGAATTCCTTCCCAAAATCCCTCTCACCTGGACTGCACTCCTCTCCTTGCTTTCCAAGTCTATAAAGGCCTTGAGAGCTGTAAAATATTTCCAAGTGATTTAAACGAGCTTGGAAGTTCTGAGGGTTAGGCCCTAATGGAAGATTGTCCCAAAAGGTATTTATATTTTATATATTATTATATAAAATATATAATTATATGTTGTACATTATATAGCATATTATGATGTCATTATTTTAGATACATAAAACATAATTTATATATGAGCATTTCTGTGTATGCATAATTAGCTACTGTGCAGTCTCTCTACACACTATATATTTATGTGTGCACACATACATAGCTAAGATATAAATATGTATGTGTATAGAGAAATGTATATATATTAAAAAGTGGGAGTTTTGAGTGTACAAGGCAATTACATGTGTGTATATGATAAATATATTTCACATATATACACATATATATGAAACACATATATAAAAACTATATGTGGGTATATATATATGTGTGTGTTTATATATAAATTATATATAAATTAACATGAAAATACATTTTAAAATAGAAAATATATAGAAAATATATTGAGAACCCCCTGCCCCCTCCCCCAGGTGTGTGCACAAGACACCAGGACCAGGTTACAAACACTCTGCTCTTTATTTCCACACTCCCAAGGCCCAAACGGGGCCTTCCTGCCCATTCCCACCCTCTGGAGTCCTTGTGAATGCCGTGGGCAGGGCTCTGTGAACCCCACAGGCAAGGCTCCATGAATCCCACGGGAAAAGCTCCCTGAATCCCTTGGGCAGGGCTCCCTGAACCTCACAAGGCGTCGTAGTCGTCGTCGTCCTCGTGTTTCCTCTTGAGCGGGTTGGGGTCGGCGGCGCCGGGCGGGACCATGTTGGTGGTGATCAGGATGTTCTTGGGGCCGATCAGGGAGGGGTTGATCAGGACGTTCTGCACCGTGGGCGTGGTGGGAGTGGCTGTGGGAATCATGGAAAGGTGTCACTGAAAGCTTGGAGTAATCCCTGCGTTATTCCAGGCTCATCCCAAGAGGGAGGATGGGGAAAGTCTGGGGGGGTGAGGACACAAGGGGGAGAGGGAAACAGGAGCCGGGGTGGGAGGGAGCTGCTCAGGATGGCCATGTTCTGGCTATCACTGCGTGCTGGGAATGGGAATTAACACTGGAAGTTCCTGGAGTGAGGGACAGGGAAATTCCCCCATCAGCTTGGCCAGAGCAGCGTGGCTGCCCCAACCCTGGAAGTGTTCCAGGGCAGCTTGACGCAGCATGGAAGGTGGCTCTGTCCATGGCAGAGTGGATGAGCTCCTCCCTGGCAGCCCAAGCAGGCTGTGGCAGCGTGGTATCCCTGCTCCCAGCCCCAGGAGCCCCAGCAGTACCTGACTTCCCAGCAGGCTGCGAGGACGGGATCTGGACCGTGAAGCGCTGCCCCGCCAGCGACACCGGCGCGCCCACCTTGGCTGACACCGACACGGTCTGGGCTGAGGGGGTGCCTGCACTCCACACAAACACACCAAACAAACCAAAATAAACAAAAAACACTCCCAAAACTCCCCCCCACCAAGCGGAATCTGCTATTAGACACAGTGGGAATGCACAGAACACCAGATGTAAGGATCACATTTCCAGGCAGAGCTGCACATTTGATAATTTTCCCACATTTGCCCCAACCCTACTGAATTCCAGACTATAAACACACATCAAATTTAAAGCTATGCCCTAAAAATTAAAGATCCTTTTAAAAATGTGCTATTTAATTCAGCATCGTACTGACACTGAGGAAAATAACCCTAAATTTAAGTAAAGTTCTTGCATAGTCCCTTAAACAAAGAATTTATCACAAATACAGAACATCTATAATGCATTTACATTTAAATGTTATTGTAATACTAATTTATGAAATTAACTTTCTGATTCTGTCAAACAATATAAGGTCAGGCAGTCCCTGACATTCCCTCAGGGGCTGAAAAGTGTTTTAAATTATTCCTCTTTATTTTTCCTTCCTAAAATGAAGGTGGGAATCCCCTGTGGAGCTGTTCCCTACCCAAAGTGGGAGTGCTGGGCCTGCTGCTCACGGCGCCCACGCTCAGGCGAGGCACTGTGATCCTGCCTGCTGTGGAGGAGACCTGTGGGGAGAGAAACAGGGAATCAGGGAATGGCCTGGAATAAACAGGAAAGTCCCCCCACAATGAGGCATTCAGGGCTTCCCAGCAAAGGAAATATTTTCCTTCTAAAGCAGAAACAACTGAGGTGGAAGTCAAAAATAGTCTTTAATATCATCTACACCAAAGCCTGGCCTGTGCCTCTGACAAGCTGACATTAAACCTGACAGTTCCTCCTGGACATGAGGAGGAATTTCTTCAGGGACAGGGTGGGCAGGCACTGGCAGGGGCTGCCCAGGGAGGTGTTGGAGTCCCCAGCCCTGGAGGTGTCCAGGGAATGACTGGAAATGGCACTCAGTGCTCTGGCACAGGCTGGATTTGATGATCCTGGCGGGCTTTTCCAGCCTCAGTGATCCTGGCATTCTGCAGTATTTCATTAACACTACAATATTCCCATACCTGAAATTTTCCCATATTTTAAAACTTCCCACATTTCAAAATTTCCACCTAAAATCAACCAACACCAAATCGCGAATCCAGCCTGGAGAGCTCCGAGCTGACGTGCACAGGCTGACACCCAGCCCAGCCTTCCAGAGCTGTGCAAAACTGCAATCCAAACCACTCCCACCCCCCAGGGGTGATCCCCGAGCCCTGGGCACTCCTTACCTTCTTCTGCAGGGATTTCAGGCGGTAGTTGGGGGCAGTCAGGCAGTACCTGTCGGGCGGCAGCCGCGGGCCCGAGTACGGCTTGATCAGCGGCAGCGGCGTCTGGTTCTTCTGGCGGGCGATGTCCAGCAGGAACTGCGGGGACACGGCACACCCTGCCTGTCACACCCCCTGGCCTGGTCACACCCCCGTGTCCTGGTGGCATTCCCCTGTCCCACTGACATCCCCGTAGCTGGTCACAGCCCCTTGTTTGGTCACATCCCCGTGTCCCACTGATATCCCCTTGTCTGGTCGCACTCCTGTGTCCCGGTGACATTCCTGTGTCCCACTGATATCCCCAGGTCCCACTGACATCCCTGTGTCTGGTCACACCCCTGTGTCATCTCAGTGACATCCCTGTGTCCGGTCAGATCCCTGTGTCCCAGCCTCATCCCCATGTTCTGGACACATCCCCGTGTCCTGGTCACATCCTCAGGTCCCAGTGACATCCCTGTGTCCCACTGACATCCGCATGTTTGGTCACATCCCCATGTCCTGGTCACACCCCTGTGTCCTGGTGACATCTCCTTGTCTGGTCACACCCCTATGTCTTCTCAGTGACATCCCTGTGTCCCAGCCTCATCCCCATGTCCTGGTCACATCCCCATGTCCCACTGACATCCCTGTGTCTGGTCACATCCCCATGTCCCTGCCTCATCCCCGTATCCTGGTGATATCCCAGTGTCCCAGACACCCCCGTGTCTGGTCACATCCCTGTGTCCTGGTGACAACTGGATGTCCCACTGACACCCCTGTGTCTGCTCACACCCCTGTGTCCCACTGACATCCCTGTGTCCCAGCCTCACCCCCATGTCCTGGACACATCCCCGTGTCCTGGTGCCATCCCCATGTCCCAGCCACACCCCTGTGTCCTGGTGACACCCATGTGTCCTGGCCTCATCCCCACGTCCTGTCCTCTTTCCTTGTGTCCCAGTGACACCTGTATGTCCTGGCCTCATTCCTGTGTCCTGGTGCCAGCCCCGTGTCCCACTGACAGCCTCAGTCCTGTGCCAGCCCTGTATCCCAGTGACAGCCCCGTGTCACCCCCGTGTCCCTGTGCCAGCCCTGGTCCCTGTGCCGGTCCCATGTCCCCCCATGTCCCTGCCCAGCTCCATGTCCTGTGCCAGCCCCGTGTCCCTGCCCAGCCCTGTGTCCCCGTGCCAGCCCCGGTCCCAGTCCTGTGCCAGCCCTGTATCCCAGTGACAGCCCCGTGTCACCCCCAGTCCCTGCCCACCCCTGTGTCACCCCCGTGTCCCTGTGCCAGCCCTGGTCCTTGTGCCAGTCCCACGTCCCCCCATGTTCCTGCCCAGCCCTGTGTCCCCGTGTCCCCGTGTGCTCACGTCGCGGGGCGGGGGCGAGGTGAAGGCCTGGTCGGTGCGGCACTGGATCGCCAGCCGCACGTCGTCCGCGTCCACGCTCGACTTCTTGGCGTGGCTTGAGTAGATCTTGGCGTCCTCCAGGATGGTGGTGACGTACCCTGGGGGACACGGGCTCTGCCCTTCAGGGAGGGCTCCCCAGCCCCACCCTGGCTCACCCGAGGGATAACTGAGGAATCCCTCCCTGCCAGAGCACCCCTGGGAGCGCCCAAGGCAGCCTGGGCACGGCCTGGAGCAGCCCGGGACACAGGAAGGTGTCCCTGCCATCCTGGGTGTGTGACTCTGTGACCGGAGAGTCACGGAATTACAGCTGGAAGAGATCTCAGCAGTCACTGAGTCTGGCAGGGAGCCCCGAGGGAACACGGGCTCACGGAGCACTGCCGGATCCAGGCAGCATTCCCTGCTCCGGGCAGCACTCCCTGCTCCATCGAACCCTTCCCTTCTCCGGGCAGCACTCCCTGCTCCATCCAACCCTTCCCTGCCCCACACAACCCTTCCCTGCCCCACACAACATTCCCTGCCCCACCCGCGGCCTCCCCGCGCGCTCCCCGCCCGGCCCCGCTCACTGTAGGCGAACTCCAGCATCTGGTTGATGACGCGCGGCTCGTACTCGGTGATGCCCATGTCCTTGAGGATCTGCGCCATCACCTGCGGGGGGACACAGGCACGGCTCAGCCCCCCGAGCCCCCGGTGCCGCCCGGACCCGCCCGGAGCCCCCCGGGCCCCGCGGTACCTGCGCGTCTTTAGGGGCGCTCTTGGGAGACGCCATCTTGGCCGCCTCCATGGTTTCCGGTCATGTGACACAGGGGGCGCGGCTACGGCGGCCGGGAGGGCGGCGTTGCCATGGAGACGCGGCCTAGCGGGGTTGCCGTGGAGACGCGGCCTGCCAGAGCAGAAATTCACTTTACTGTAAATATTCATGTAGGCCAACTGATGCACAGACCAAATCTGCTGGATTCAAGCGACTGTTTTCCCACTTCCCCTGCTGCAGACAGCCCAGTGCCCCCCATCTGCCCTGAGGTGATGCAGGAGGAGATGTTTTGTTGTTTCATTAATAGCTCTGAAGCCACTTTTTAAAGTGCTAGCAATCCCAGGATTAACTAAAAATGACAGTGTGTTCCCACTATTCTGAAAATAAAAGATTCCACTTTGGAAGCAAATTTAAAAGCTTTTTAAAGCTGGTTTTCATGTCAGCTGACTGGATTTGTAAGCCACACAGAGCACATTCCATGTGAGTTTTGTCAGAGTTTCTCACTTTCTGGGGCAAAACAGAACCAAAAATAAAGTTTTGTTGTGATTTTGTCGGGCAGGCGATCAGGAACGTTCCAGAAGCAGTTGCCATGTGTTAAAACCCAGGAAGGTCCGACTGCAGCCAGGTCTGGAGGAAGAGGATGTGCTGGGGACTCCTCAGAGACAGGGACACACCAAGGGCTGCTCCCTCGATCCGCCCTGCGGAACATTCCAGAGCTCTGCTGCTCCCATCACCCCCAGGCAGGCATTCAGAGCTGGCTCACATCCCAGCCCGCCTGGTTTGGGATCAGCCGGGGGGAGCAGGGGCAGCCCCATGGCTCGGGCTGGAAAACCCTCACCAGCACCAGGGGCCGGCACGGGATCCCTGCGCCAGAATCCAGCTGGGGCAGCTCCCAGGCCAAGTCATTTGACTTCCATGAGTCAGAGTGTTACACAAAAACATCCTGGGAGGAGGGAGCGAGGGAGGGAGGAGGAATTCCAGACACTGATCTTAGACTAAAGAAACTAAATCCACTTTTCTTTCCCTTGTTTTAGGAAAGAGGGGGAGAGCAGCTCTTTCATGGGCTGGGATCAGGCTGGAGCTCAGCACGTGGCGCTGGGGGCTGCCACACTCTCTATTCCTGAGGCAGGAAAGAAAATGATGGTTTGATTCCCCACTTCCATGGGGCTCGGGATTTATCCCTAAACCCAGTGCAGGACCCTTCTGCTTCTTCTGTGCCACCTTCTCCACTCACCACAGGTGACTTTCCACGCTGGGAAGGACAACCAAGAGCTCCTTGCAGGATTTCTGCGAGGAAAGCAGCAGAAGACAGGGAGAGGCACCTGCCCCCAGGGCCACAAACACCTTCCTGGCCCCATGGACACTCCTGTGGGGAACAGCCATGCTGGGAATCATGGGGTTGGAGAAGCCCTCCAAGACCACGGAGTCCAAGCTGTGCCTGATCCTCACCTTGTCACCAGCCCAGAGCTCTGAGTGCCACCTCCAGGGATGGGGACTCCAAGCCTCCCTGGGCAGTTCCCATGTTTAACAACCTTTTCTGTGAAGAAATTCCTGCTGATGTCCAACCTACCCCTCCCCTGGCCCAGCCTGAGGCCGTTCCCTCTCCTCCTGTCCCTGTTCCCTGGGAGCAGAGCGTCCCCCGGCTGTCCCCTCCTGTCAGGAGCTGTGCAGAGCCACAAGGTCCCTCCTGAGCCTCCTTTTCTCCAGGATAAACTCAAAAAGACACATTCCATGGGCACCACACGCTGGCCCAATGGAAGAGCAGCCACCCCTCCCCTCTGCTCGGGGACTGGGGTTGTTTTCAGTGCTGGAAAACAGGAAATGGGGTCATGGTGTGTCCTGGCCGGGCGCCGGCTCCTCCGCCGGCCGCGGTCGTTCATCCCGGAGCTGCCGCCAGCTGGGAATCATCTGCTGGAGAAATCAGCACAGCCTGGGCACGTGGCTCTGCTCAGCGGGCAGGATTTAAATCCATAAATTTTAAATCCTTCTAAGTGTTCCAGGCCAGGACGGATGGGGCTTGGAGCAAGCTGACATAGGGGAAGGTGTCCCTGTCTTGCAGGAGTGGAACAAGATGAGCTTTAAGATCCCTCCCAACCCAATCCATTCCATGATTATTCTATGAAATTTCACTGGGAATTTCTTCCCAGACAGAATTTGAGGTGTTCAGGGTGCAGCTACACACAGCCCTGGCACAACGACAGCTTTTCTTGTTGGAAGGTGTCCAAATCTGCAAGAACCCCAGCCAGAGCTTCTGCCTCTTGGAAAGGGCAGCAGGAATCTCCCTAACGTCAGAGCTGGGATTTGCTGGACAATGCAGTGCCTGTGCTCAGCTCTGACCTTTCCAGCACTAATCCCACACTACTTGGCTCCACAAAACTCTGGCATTTGGGCAGTCCTTGGGAGAATAAGAGCTCTAAAGAGCCAAGCTCTGAGATTTGTTTTGTAGCTGATACCTCTCATTTCTGCTAGAGCCCTGTTCCTGGCTTCTGGAGGAGTTCTGAGGACTGTGAGGACAGATCCTGCTGCTGGGTGTCCCTGCTCCCTTTGGCCCTGTGCTTCCAGCTTCCCAGAGCCTTCCTTTGGGATTCCCTCAGGCTGGCCCCCACTCCCCTTGCCTCCTCCACCCCAGCATTTTCCAGCTCCTCACCCCTGATTGTTCCTCAAGTGGAAATTTTACCCAGGCTGTGTCCAGCTGTCTCTCTGGGGATGGTGGTCAAATAAAGCCTTTCCCATCTTATCTTTATCAGATCATGAAGGCACCGTCAGGAGGAATTCCGCACTCAGCAGCAAATGCCGGGGAAGAGCTTAAGGGGGAAAAGACCTGAGTCAACACAAAATGATGGAAAATTGGCAATCAGCCCCAAATGATTCAATTTCCAGTCTCAAAGAACTCTTCTATCTCACCTGAGAACTTCAGGTCCTTCCTGCAGTGCGAGGAGAAGTGGAAGTGACATTCCAAGGGTCCCAAGTTAATTCAGCTCTTAATGACACTGAGCATGTTCCCTTCCCTTCAATTACACATGACACAAGTGAGACTAAATCCCACAAAACCACAGGAGCTCGGAGTCAAATTTGAATACATTTGTATTATTTATTGGCTGTATTAAATATATTATCTATTTGATAGTTACAATTTAGTAATACAATGCATGGCAGCTTTAACATACGTTTGAGATACCTCAAAAATGACAATACAAGAAAACCAAAGATATCTAAAATACATTAATGCCACGAGGGTACATCCTTCTGGAATGGACAACAGCTGATGGAAAATCCGTATTGCAGTAGAAATCCCAGATATTTTCTGGAAATATGAGCATTTTGTGGCAGTCACAAAAGGATTCGATTTCATTTTTTAGCAGTGGTGACTTGTTAGTATTTACTCTGCAATCCTAATTTCAGGACTATTATTGCCAAATAAACCTCTACAAGTTGGTTCTAAGGAGTTAAAAAAGAACCCTTTGGCAACGGAGATTTGCTGCAGGCAGTTTATCTGCTAAAGGGAGACTATGAGGAAAATAAAGACAGATTGTAAACTCTTCTGCAAACTAGAGACTAATATCTGTATAAAACTCTGACACTGGAGGGAGAGATTTCTATGATATAATAAATGATTAACTTAAAGTTCTGCTACAAGTAGAACAATACATTCAAACATACATTTTTGTTTCTTTCCAGGACTTTTAATCAAAATAAATAGAGTACAAAAATGAAGAGTACGTTTTGAAAAGATTAATTTCAGATTGCACCATCGATCTACTGTGAAGAGGATTAAGTGATACTCGTCATAATTTAGGTTTTCCACATCTGAAATACAACACAATGCCTCAAACTCTAACACAACGTTATTCCTCAACTGCTGTAGGAGAAAGACCCTTAAAAGTGATTAATTAATTACTGGAAACACATCGCCTGTAGCTCTGTCACATCCACCCTCCCACCCACAAGTGAATCGTTCTGATGGCCGAAGTGGAGCCACAGACTTTGCACAAGACCCTAAATCTACCGTTCTGTGGCATGTTCCAAATGCTGCTGGCAAGACCCATCCTGAAACATTGGAAATTTGTGAGTTCCAGCTTTCAAAAGCTTTGATCTAACGGAGCCAGGAGCTGCCAGGCTCCTCCTCAGGGATTCACAAGCAGATGGAACACAACAGTCAAATGTAGTGCACAGTGTCCACAAAAATATCCCCCAGCCGACCAGGACGAGTTTCAGACAAGTTCATAGCAGGCTGAACATTCCCAACAGGAAAACCATGGAATGTGAAGCTGCTACCACTGGGATAGCAAGTTTAAAACATTGTATAAACGTTATCTAAAAAGAGTTCTCTCACGTACAATTTGCTCGTTGGGGTTAAGTTAGAAGGGCACCCAAAGCAGGCTGAACTTTTTATTTTTTTAGGTTAATAATAGTACAAAAACATTTGCTCAGTTTGAGCCAAATAGTGTAACATTTATCATAAATGCACTCTTTCTCCTTAAAGACAACTCCTGTGCTGTTCTGAGCACGCTGCACAGGGAATTACTTTTCTCTCAGGCACTGAGAGTGAAATGTGGATTGGGCCAAAGCTGCTCAGGACAGCAGGAACATTCCGGGCAGAGCCTTTCCTGGGCATCCCGGCCGAGCGCCACGTCCTGCTGGCATTGGTTTGGATTAAAACCCTAAAAAACCCTGGCACCCTCTACTCCAACACTTGAAATGATTATTAC